TCTCTCACACTATAATTGATTTTGAGGTGATTCAAGTTGGAGGTGATAGCTTCTTTCATGATTTTTCCAATGATAGGTCATATGCCCAATTTCGATTAGAAACAAGAAATTTATGAACGTTTTACGAAAACCTGACGAAGTTGGAAAGTTGTGACGAGGTTACGAGCTATAGGCTATAGCTCTATGCGAGTGAGCTATAGCTCGTCCCTATGAAGACTTGCGGAAGGCTTGAGCTAGCTGTCAAGCTATAGCTTGGCAATTCGGTTCTTGTGGGATAAATTATGGAATATTTCCTAAAATTATATCTTTTCTATGACAGCTATTTGAGCATACTTGGGGAACAATTTAGGGTTTTTTATTCGGGTTTCCTTGTGTTATAAACGGACCCTGTAGTTGATCAATTAGATCATACCTTTTAAGCCATTAGATTTAGGACTCTTTGTATTATTCTCTCGTTTCCACCCGTGGATGTAGGTTTAATTTGACCGAACCACGTAAATCCTTGTGTTCTTTGTTTATCTTCTTTATTGCTTTTCTCGTTCTTATTTTTCATTGACTTGTTGCACATTAATCAAACACAATTACACCCTTTATTTTCTAACAAATTGGTATTTAGAGCCAGATATTAAGATCTTAGGTTTTAGGTTTTAGGTGTTAATTAAATTATGCCAATGAAATTTGACATTAAGAAATTCGACAAGTAAGTGAATTTTGGCCTATGGCAATTGAATAAGAAAGCCATCTTGGTTCAAAGTGGCTATCACAAGGCTCTTGAAGGTGTATCCAAAAACCCTTCATGCATGACAATGGATAAGTAGGAGGAGATCGATTTGAAGGCTCTTTTGACAATTCAATTATGTCTCTCTAATGATGTTTTGAGAGAGGTTGCCAAGGAGACAACTGCTGCGGGTTTGTGGTTAAAGTTGGAGTCACTTTATATGACAAAGAGCGTGACCAACTGTCTACTACTCAATCTAGACTTCATGATCTTCGTCTAGAAGAAGGTAAACCGCTTAAGTCTTATTTAGATGAATTCTTCTCTATTATTATGGATTTTCAAACATCAATGTTGAGATCGATGATGAAGATATGGCTATTAGGTTGTTGTGTTCTTTACCGCCTCCTTATAAGCACTTTCGAGATACTTTATTGTATGGTGAAGATGATTTGAGTTTGGAGGATGTTAAGGATGCCTTAACCCATAGAGATTTAATTGACAATAAGTTGGTTAATAAATCTAATAATCCAACTCAAAATAATGCTTTGGTTGCTCATGGTGGTAATAAGAAATTTGGTAAAGGAAAAGTTTGTAACTATTGTCATGTGAAGGGTCATATCAAAGCCGAGTGTTGGAAATTGAAGAAAAAGAATGAGGAGAAGTCCAATGAGGACAAATCTACAAATATTGCTGACACCAACGATGATGATGATTATGCACTTTAGGGTTTGAGCTTCGGGGCTGCGGTTTCTACGATCTCTTCATGATAAGTGCCCCTTTAAGATCTCTTGGTGAAACGAGAAACCGTGTGAATTTTTTTGGTTATGGATTCTATGATAGATTACTTTTTGATTTTCGTTCTTTATAAAGTAGCAATCTTGGTTATGCATTAGATTTTGATCTAGTTATGCTATTTCTTATCTCAATTTTGGTACTTTTATGATTTATTAAGTATAATTGCAATTTAGAAATTTTTGATGTAATTTTATTTTTCTAGAATTGCTTAAGTTTTAGTTTGGTTTTGAGATGAAGAAGTGTTTGAAAAGAGTTTGGTCAATTTTGATAAGCATGCTTGGCGTCGGGACATTATACTCTCAATCTAGGCCATGTGATGGTTTTGTGTACGTAATTTTGTGTTCGAAGACGCACCGGTTCACAAGTTATGGAAGATGTCCGTTTGTTGATAGCCTAATGAGAGTAGGCTTATGAAATTTTGTTTAAGGTGGAGATTCTTCATTTTCTTATGAGCATTAATTCTTGGTTTTTTTTGTTCAAGGTAGAGTTACCTTGTTTTTTAGTCGATTTCAAGTCAAGGTGGAGATTTGTTAAATTGTGACTCGAAATCTTGTAGGGATGACTTTTAATGCATTTATCTATCAAACTATAAATTATTTTGAGGTGATTCAAGTTGGAGGTGATAGCTTGTTTCAAGAGCTTTCCAACGATAGGTCATATGCCTAATTCCAATAAGAAACGAGAAAGTTATGACTGTTTTACGAAAACCTGATGAAGCTGGAAAGTTGCGACGAGGTTGCGAGCTATAGCTCTATGCGAGTAAGCTATAGCTCGTCCCTATGAAGACTTGCGGCAGGCTTGAGCTAGCTGTCGAGCTATAGCTCGTCAATTCGGTTCTTGTGGGGTAAATTATGGAATATTTCCTAAAATTATATCTTTTCTATGACGGCTATTTGAACTTGGAGAACAATTTAGGGTTTTTTATTAGGATTTCCTTGTGTTATTAAAGGACCTTATAGTTAATCAATTAGATCATACCTTTTGATCCATTAGATTTAGGACTCCTTGTATTATTCACTTGTTTTTTTTCCATTATAGTGAAGAAGCTCTCGAATCCCTCACACGTGGATGTAGGTCTAATTTGACCGAACCACGTAAATCCTTGTGTTCTTTGTTTATCTTCTTTATTGCTTTTCTCGTCCTTATTTTTCATTGACTTATTCCGCATTAATCAAACACTATTACACCCTTTATTTCCTAACAATATCTGTTGTGCTTTATCTCAGTTGACTTAAATCAACTCCTCGCCACCATAATACCACTTTGGTACTCCATCTTTACATTATAAAAGGATTTTGATTCTTGAACATTAATTGTACTCAAGCTCTGACATTTACCCATTAAAAATCCTTTTGCTAGGAATTAAATAATAAGGCCACTAGTCGGCAAGTCTTAGAAGATAAAGGATTAACCTTCCTTTAATTCCATGTCGGACAATCACAAGGACATCAATATTCTTTGAGAAACCAAGACCCATCTTGATCTTAATCACAAGAGCCACTAATAATAGTAATTGCATAAAATTACGATCAGACTTCCTTTATAAGTTTCATCCGCTTTGCTGAGGAGATATCAATCATAATCTGACGACGAAATTAATAGTCCTCATGAATTAGGGTTCTTCTGATTCGAATTATACGGATGAATTTCATATGATGATCCCGAACCAAATATTAATATAAATAATACAAGAATCAACAGTAAATTAATTGTACTACTTCGCTTCTAAATTGTTGGTAAAATATCTATCGATTTCAATAACAAATAGAGAAGATGAAAGGGAAAAAACTCGATTGATGATCTCAATAATACAGTTGTGCCGCATAACAGAATCTATTGCATTAGAAGCGAAATACGCCACCACCGGTACAAGTTTTTTGATGACGCACGCCCCTCAATGTTAACACAACTCTCTTCATGATTCGTGTACCCGAACCCGAAGAATGGAATTACTCAAGAACTGTTCAGATCTCAAATGGTAGGTGTGTGTTTTTTGTGTTTAGGGTTTCAGAGATAACAAAATTGTATATCTCAATTTGGGGATACACACACACACACACACATATATATATACACACACACACACACACACACACACACACACAAAGAAAAGATATAAATGAAGCAAATAAGGCCTCCTCGCTAAGCCTACGAGCGGCCAATCTCTCGCTCACGAACGAGCGAGCTATCGCTTGGCCCTGCCGCAAGCAACATGTGCAGCAGTTAGCAGGCGAGCTATAGCTCGTACCTGCCGCAAGCAACGCAAGCAGCGTGCTATCGCTCGCGCGCACACGAGCTATAGCTCGCATCTGCTACATGCCAAGCAATCATCTGAGCTACCATCTGAGCTATAGCCCGGCCTTGCCGCAACCCATTTGCCTTGTTAGCTATAGCTCTTTCGCTAGCTCCTTGCACACAACGTTGATATAGGGTAACAACACTTAGCAACACTCCGATTTGCATTACAAGTATTATTACTCCAACAATATAAATTTATTTTAGGAAATATTAGAATTAATAATCCCAACTTTCATTAATTTTGGTAGAATAATCCCAACTTTGGATTATACTGGAATAATCCAAACTTTTGGGGGTCTTCTTTTTCTTCAATCCCTAACCGGTTAACAAAAGTCAATGACCTACTATATCAGGTCACTTGACACGTGTCAAGCCTTGATTGGTCCAAAATTTAAAAGAAAAAAAAACAAAAAAAACAAAAACCAAAAAAAAAAAACCCAAAAAACAGAAAAACCCAGCCAACCTCCCCTCCCCCACCGTCCCACCCACCACCACTGCCCAGTCCGCCGCCTCTCCCTCACCGACCGCCGCTCTTCCCATGCCGGACCGCCGCTCTTCACACGTCGGACCGCCGCTTTCCCTCGCCGTTTTCCCCCTTCCCCGAAATCCCCTCCAACCCCCCACGCAACCACCACAAAAAACCCCTTTCCTACTCCCGAAAAACCCCAAAAACTCCTCCTCCACCCCGAAACCCTAGCGGCTAGGGTTTTCAATGGTGGGGGAAGGGTGTTTGGGGGTTTTCGAGAGTTAGGGGGAGTTTTAAAGGCAGTTTCTAGTGGTGGTGGTGGCTGGAAAAGGAGATTAAAGTGATGGTTGCCGGCGGAAAAGGAGGGGAGGAAGGTGGGTCGCATCACCGGCATTGGGGAGGGGGAAAACCGGCGTTGGGGGAGGGGATCACTACAACAAAAGAGGGCTATAGCAACACACATTTTTGCAACAGTTTTATTAGTGTCGCTATAAGTAGACAATATGGCAACAATTTTTAATTTATTGATATAACTAACCATTTTCGTTTAAAGTCTGTTGCTATAGAGAAAAACATGGCAACACTTTTAATGAATAAGTAAAAGATATTATTTGACAATGGTTTAACCAAGTGGATGCTAGTTAATATTAATGATTAATGATTGATTAATTAATTAAATAATTTCTGATTTGAAAAATAAAAATAACTAATAAGGATCGGAGTACTTGATAGTGATTAAGCAGTCTTTTTTTGGGTACATGAAAATTCTGGAAACATGAAAACTTTCTATTAAGCGGCCAATTTTTTTTGGTTTCCCTCTTTCTTTTCCTAATTCACAAACCCTCTCCGAATTCACAAACCCTCTTTATTTTCGTTTCAATTCCCTCTGTTCATCCCCCAAAATTCTTAAATTAGCCCTCTCTTATTTTTGCACATAAATTAGGGTTGATTATCGTACAATCTTGTCATCATAGTCCGATTACAATTCTTTGTAGGCGAGTTGAAATTGCTTGAATCACAATTTACCGAAATTTCTTTGCTCTCAAGACTAGTGAACAAGGTTAGTATGTAATTTAGTTGTATAAATTGATATTTTCTTGAATAACTTATCTCCAATTTGATTTTGATATCACAATTATGTAATTGGAACTTATGGGTATTGAGTAGGGGATTTAGGGTTTGGTAAATTAGGGAATTGTATCATCTGATTATGAGAGTTCATATAATTCAATTTAATCTATAGATTTATTATGAATTACCATAGAATTTTTTTTTCCTGTAAATTAATATGTTTTCTTGGTGAGTTGCATGTTTCTGGTTAGAATAAGATCAACGAAAGCGACATTACTTGAATAATTTTACATAATTTTTTGGGATTGTTAGACATGTTGGTTATTTATATACTTTAGATTGTGAGCCTGCTTATAATTGCTAGATTGGGAAAGATTAGTAACAATAGTCAGTTTCTACTTGCCTATAATTGCTAATTTGTGATTTTTTATTGTGTGGTTTTTTTTTTCCTTTTTTTGTTAAAAAAATAGAATTGAGTCTTATACGAGTGAATGAGTGATTGAATAAGTTGATGTTAATTGGCTTAAAGGCTATAATTTAAATAATTTATTCTCATTCTTACAAAAAAAAATATTCTCAAAATTAAACTTGTTTTGCTGTAATTATTTGTGTTAAGCAATAGTTATAATCACATGACAAAAGCATGATGATCCTCACTTCTCCTTCTACTAGTTCTATTTTTATCATAGCTTAGAATTTGCAATTATAAGGATATCGGAAAATTAAGAAGTATGCTCCAAATAAAAACTACTTCCTAAGAAGTACTGGAAAATTATAAATATCTACCTGTGAGTATATGATACAACTAACTTAACCACTACTCACTAATTAATGCCACTTAAAGAACATGACTTTCCCAGTAACATATTTATACAATAAAACCCAAAAAAAATGCATGATGATCTTGTTAGCAATAATGAAGCATTGCAATAAAGTGAACTTTTCTTACAACATTACAATTTCTTTAGTGTGATATGTAAAGTTTAGATCTTATTCATTATCCATTAGAATTGAATCACATAATTGAAACTATATCAGAACAGCCAGATAAGGCGATGTGAAGAATCTTTAAAAAGTGAGTTAAAGTTAAAATTGATAGTGCACAAATAATTAAGATTTTAGAGAGTATAGTTTTACTTTATCAATCTTATATTTTAACGAGATTAAGCGTATGTGAACCTAAAGATAGTTATAAGCTAGAGATTGTTGATGCCAAGTAAGTGTTCCTTATAGACTAGTAGCATATTTCTTATTAGTCGGGAATTATTATGAGTTAATGGAATCATGTCTACCTAACTTTTAGTTCATAGTTAGTGGTTTCTTATTTGAAGTTTTATCTAAAGACTTTGTAATTTTCAGTCTAGTTAGTGAGTAAAACTAATTATTCTCTTCTTATATATAACTTTTGATCTTAATAATTATAAACTTATATGTACTAGATTTTGGTTTATAACTAATATCTGTACATGTTTAGATATCATAGATGATCTTTATATAAGATTTCTATTTTCAGCTTTAGTACTGTAAATTTTTCCAATTAATATCTATCAAATCTATTCTTTCATTTTATAATATAGATGATCTCTAAATTTATTTGCTTGTGTAATTTAGGAATTGACATAAATTAAGTTAAGGATCAAAATTGGATGAACTATCCTAGAAGTTCGGACTTTAAAGTTGCTTTGAATATTTTTCTTGATGATTATTTTGCCAAGGACGTCATTGGAGATCATATATTTTTCCCTTGTAAAACGTGTTTGAGGCGTTTCTGCCATTCTAGAGATGACGTTTATGATCATTTGATTGTTAATGGGTTTGTGAAGGGATTCAAGGAGTGGGTCTTGCAAAGGGAGGGATATTCTTCTACAAATAATGATAGGCAAACTATGCATGAAGTAAATAATCAAAGTACACATGATGATATCAATGGCTTACTACATGATACTTTTAGAGATGTGGGTGAAGGTCTAAATAGAGATCATGAGGTTGAAAGTGAGCCAAATGAGGAGGCTAGAAAGTTTTTTCATTTGGTGGAAGAAGGAAAAAATTGAAAGAGCTTTATCCGGGCTGTAAAAATTTCTCAAAACTGTCTTTCATAATTCGTTTGTTCCTCTTTAAGTGCCTTAATGGCTTAAGCAATGTAGCCTTTGGTGATCTTTTAGAGTTATTAAGAGAGGCATTTCCAATGGCCGAACTTCCTAAATCATTTAATGAATCTAGGAATATAGTGAAGAATTTGGGTCTTGATTATAAAAAAAATTCATGCTTGTCCCAATGATTGTATTCTTTATAGGAAGGAATTTGAAGGAGCGGATGTTTATCCTAAGTGTGGTACATCTAGGAGGAAGTCTAACATTGTTCCTGCCAAAGTTTTAAGGCATTTTCCTTTGATTCCTAGATTGCAAAGACTATTCATGTGTTCCAAAACAGCCGAATTAATGGTTTGGCATGATAAAGGCCGAATAAAAGATGACAAAATTAGACATGCGGCAGATGCCCAATCTTGGAAGGACTAGATTCATCATATACTGCCTTTAAAAATGAAGCACGAAATGTACATTTAGCTCTTGCTAGTGATGGATTCAATCCATTTCGAACTATGAGTGTTGCTCACAGCACATGTCCTGTTGTGTTGATAAATTACAACCTTCCATCTTGGCTCTCTATGAAATCGGAATATTTTATGTTGTCTTTGTTAATTCCTGGCCCTAAGTCTCCTGGAAATGACATAGATGTTTTTTTACAACCACTAATTGACGAATTGAAGGAATTATGGGAATTTAGGGTTGAGACTTATGGTGCATTTAAAAAACAATAATTTCAATTACATGCTGCATTGATGGGGATGATAAATGATTTTCCAGCTTACGCCATGTTGTCTGGATGGTCAGCTAAAGGAAATTATGCATATCCTAATTGTAACCATGATGTGAAACCTAAAAACTTGCATCACAGCAAAAAGAATTGTTACATGGATATTTGAAGGCATCTTGATATGGATCATCCTTGGCGGAAAGATACAAATTCATTCAATGGAGAAGTAGAGGATAGGTGTGCACCTTCTCCGTTAACAGGTACTGATTTGATGAATGAATTAGAGAACTTTGAAAATGATTTTGGGAAGAAAAGTAAAGGTGGAGAAGGTAAAGGTCCATGGAAAAAGAAATCATGCTTTCTTCAACTGTCTTATTGGTCTAATATTAAATATCGTCATAATTTAGATGTCATGCATATCGACAAAAATGTCTTCGATAATATTGTTGGCACTTTGTTAGACATTCCTGGAAATACTAGAGACCATAATAATGCATATTTGGATTTGTTGGATCTTAGCATAAAACCACGCCTCCAGACTTATCCATCTAAAGATGACAGCGAGCCACATCCTATTTCCGCAAGCACCTTATTTTATGAGTAATGCAAAGAAGGATTTGTTTATCAAAGTTCTTAAGGAAACAAAGTTACCTTATGGGTATGCATCAAATATCGGGAGGTGTGTGCATGTTAAAGAAAGGAATTTTTTTGGCTACAAAACTCATGATGCACAAGTCGTATTGCATCACTTGCTTCAAGTTGCTGTTAGGAAGACATTGCCAAAAAAAAATGTTGCAGGACCTTTGACTATTTTGGGGAACTTTTTTCATGGTTTATGTAGTAAAATTGTTGATCATGAAGAATTAGATAGGTTAGCATCTGAAGTTGTCAATATACTTTGTCAATTTGAAATGATATTCCCTCCTGCATTCTTTGATGTTATGATTCATCTACCTGTTCATTTAGTAGAGGAAATCAAATTTGGTGGACTTGTGCAATATCGATGGATGTACTTTGTTGAGAGGTATTTAGGTAAGTTGAAGTCCTATATTCAAAATAGGAGTAATCCCGAAGGAAGTATAGCATAAGGGTATATGATGGAAGAGTGCTTGACATGTATTTCTCGATATTTGCGTGAAGGTGTAAACACTAGACTAGATAGAAGATTAGATGTGCTAGGAATTTTTCCTTGAATCAGCATGATGATGAATTATCTTTGTTTCCTAAAGTAGGACATCCTATTGGTGGAAAAGGAAGAGAAAAGGAAAAGGATTTACATTAGATTTCTAAAGTCTTGAACCAAGCTCATAGATATATTGTCTTCAATTGCGACAATGCAACAGTTGAAACATACATCAAGTAAGAGTTTTTTTCTTTTAATATATTTTCAGTTTTTATAATTTTAATCTAATAAAAATAATGATATTTTTTCTTTTATAATTCAGAGAACATCATATTTGGGTGAATAGCCAAGGTCGAAAGCGTAGATGGGATAGTGCACAAAGTCATAGTAAAGATTTTATTGATTGGTTTTCTGAAAAAGTACAAAGAGAGAAGGTTAATGGAGAACTTTTTTGGTTGGATAAGGGTCCTAATCCTAAGACCAGGAGGTACACTGGGTATTTTATCAATGGTTTTAGGTTTTACACTAGAGAACGTGATTCACGATTAAAGACTCAAAATAGTGGAGTGACTTTGACAGCTTTGACTTTAAGTTTTTCCAGTTCAAGGGATCGAAATCGCGTCGACGGAGACCTACTATGGTGTAATGGAAGAAATATTTGACTTAGACTTTTGGTCTCAATTCAGCGTTGTGTTATTTAAGTGTGATTGGTTTCTTGGTGATATTGATGAGTTTGGGCTTACATATGTCAATTTCAAGAAGAAATGTTCCAAAGATGATCCATTCGTATTGGCTTCTCAGGTTCACCAAGTATACTATTCTCAAGATCCATTAGAAAAAGATATTCAATACGTCATGAAAAGGGTTCCAAGAGACCTTTTTGACTTTGAGGAAGCACTGAATGAGGAAACATATTGGGAGGAGCCTATTGATTCTAGTTCTAATAACATGCCTTCTTTTGATGCTAATCATATTCATGTAGGAGCTGGTGGATGTGAAGTGCGTGCTGTGAACATAGATGATTTATCATACTCTGAGGATGTTAATAACCTTGAAGATGACATTGATTATGATGATACAGATTGGGATTGGATGGATGTAACTGATGATATTCTAGCTCATGAGCCATAGGATTATTAATGAATCTTGAGCAATTGTATTTATTTAAAAAAAAATCGATATTATTTTATTATACTTTGTTTTATGTATTAGAATTGCTATTTGAACATTTGATTTGGCTTTTTTAGTAGTAATTATTTATCATCTTTGGACTTCCTCAAAATTATCTTCTTCCTTAGTCAATATATTAGCCTTTTCTAATTTTTTTCCCAAAACTTGAGTATCCCAAAACCTGAATATATTAGCTTAATGTCAGGTATCAGATATAGTACTAATAAATTTGTAGTATTAAGTATGTGTTATATTTGAAAAAAATATGTCTGACTATTTTGTTGTAAGTGTTATTTGATAGGTCTAAACTTTTTTTTTCCCACTAATTGTTTATAATATTTGTTTGCAGAATGACGAAGAATGGAAGTAAGAAGCTTGAAATTGCCTTGTAGTCCATTTTAGCACCTTATGAGAAAGTAAGGTCCATGACTATGGAAAGAAATGCCCGGAGGTTTAGAGAATTAGGGCTCGACAAGATTGCTTAACAATTGTTGGAAAAAAATAAGAACTTTACAAAAGGAAAGGAGAATGTGAATTCTAATGTAGATGATAAAGACTATGTGCCTGGTGAAGAAAATTGTGACCTTGATGAGGAGTTTGAGATGTCTCGAGAAGCAACAACCTCTATACCTAAGAAGGTTACTTTTTCCTATTTTTCATTATTTTTTTCTTCTTGGGATCATGTTTATTTTATACTGATTACCTTAATGATCGGATGCTAGAAGGCAAGAACTAGAGAGCAACCACCTAGGAAGAATAAGAAGCAGCCATTGTGCCCATCTATGGCAATGGACGATTTCCTTGTTGCTCAAAATCAAATGAATCTAGCTGAAGTACGACAAATAGAGCAAGATGTACAACAATTGGAGCAAGATCGACAAAGATCTAAGCGTCCGCTTTCGACTAAAGTTCCACTAGAAAGCCGAGGAGAATCTGTCTCCGCACAAGGTTTGTCTTTAATACTCCACCCCTTTAAAAATCATGAAAATTCTTATGGTCTTGTAAACTTTTTAGTTATTCAATCCAAGGTTAGACAAATTTCAATAATCTGCTTCTAAAATTGCTTCTTCTCTTATTATATAAGTAATTAGCAGTAAACAATGAACAAACTGCAAGCTAAGTACCATTATAAAATCAAACGTAATTATGTTCTGGTTGAAGCAAGTTTTGTTAGGCTTGTGAGGGAGTATGGGAGTATTTGAAGTGAGTTTTTGCTTCGCGAGGTGTTGCTGTTGCACGTGGAAAAACGTGACTGCTTGTGTTGATCAAGGGGACACTGCTAGTGTAGGGTCTTCTACTGTTGATGCAAGGTATGATGTTGTTGATGCAAGTTCTGGTGTTGTTGTTGATGTAGGGTCTGTTGCTACTTAAGCAGGGCCTGCTGCTGATGGTGCAAGGCCTACTGCTAATGGTGCAGTGCCTATTGCTGATGGTGCAGTGCCTGCTGCTGATGGTACGTGGCAATGCAAGTTATGTTGTTGCTGCTTGTGCAGGGCCTGCTGATGCTTAAGACTTGGTTTCACAGTTCTCTAGAAATATAAAATACAAAACAGATTGGAAGTTCTTTAAATTGAGTGGAGTGATTTCAACGTTTTTGGAAGTTATCTAAGTATGGGAAAGCAAAAGCATTTTAATTGTTTGTGTCTTAGAACTCTCTTAAACTTCAAATTTATTTTGGTACAGTTTGTTACTTGGGATCATTTTCTTTGTTTGTTTGTCAAAGTTATCTAGTTAATGCCTTAAAAACTATTGAATGCTTGTCACATGTTTACTTATGAACTTTTCCATATCATGTAATTGCATTTATAAAGTTGCAATTGTAATCTTTATTTCTATCTTTAAATTTTTTATTTATTTTGAATTTATTCTTTTGTTTTTACTTGGATAAAAGTTCCTAAGAAGAAAGGGCGAGGTCCAACAAATTTGTTTGATGCCCATGCTCGCAAATGGGAAGATTGCGTAGCTATCTACTGTAATGACAAAGGACAAGCTATCGGGCCTGAAAAGGCAAGGAAAGAACTAACTAAATTATTAGGAACTATTGCTTAAGATTACAGTTGGACTCCCTTGACATACACAAATTGGAAACAAGTTCCAAACAAGGAGAAAATCTGGGAATTTGTGAATGTATGTGTAATTTTCTTTCATTTGTACTATTTTGAGTATACAACATGCGTTTACTTTTATATGTGTTTTAATATTGTTTTTTTATAACATAAACCTAACCATTATTTTAGAACAAGTACATCCTTCCAGTTGAAGCTAAGAATTGGTAATGGAGACTCTTGATCAATCATGGAGAGGATTCAAATGTCGCCTCAAAAGAGATCATTATTATATGTATGACACCTATGAAGAGAGATTGAAGCATCCTCCTGAAAGAGTTCCTGAAGCACATTACAAAACACTTTTAGCTTACTGGGGGACACCAATAGCAAAGGTATAATTGAACAATTAGGAACTCAATAAATTTGTCTTGACTTTAATGCTTTTTTTTTTATGTAGAAAACCAGCTTGCATGACTATTACAAGGACTTGGTGCCACTCGTAAGAAGCGAAAAGATAAAGGACCTGGTACCTCTTTGATTCTACCAGAAGAGGTCATGGAGTCTATTAAAAGTGTTGTAACTGCTGATGTTTAGAAGGATATAAATGCTGAAATTGAAGAATTTGCCAAGGAAAAAGAAGTTCATGCTGCACAAGAAGCTAAAATAGAAAGGAAGACTAAGGAGCTTGAATCTGAGACCTTAAAACTGCAAGAGATACGCATGGATATTAAAAATCAGCAAGGGAATATAACTCTTGATGCAGTAATATCAGCACTTGCACAACTACGCCAAAAAGATCCTAGCTTAACTCTAGAAATTATTGCAAAAGCTATCGTTTCAACGACTACAAATGATGCATAAACTATATTATTTAAGATTATAAACAGGTATGTTATTCTATTTTACATGTTATCTTCCTTTTTTCTTTTTCTATTTTTACATAGTTACATGTGGTTGAAGAATTTGAAATGGTGTATTATATGATATGAAGTTCTAAACAAAGTAAATACAACTGGCATTATTTCTTAGAAAATTATAAGATTAAAAAACTCAATCTCTTTCCTCTTCTCGAAACCAGGCATCAAAATTTATGATGCTAGCTTAGCCAAATTGTTCTATTGTTTTGATAATGTAGTCTCTATGATTATAAAAATTTATGATCCTTTGATGTTTACTTCCTTATACTCTTGTGATGTTGCTACAGTACTGCTTCTTGCCCCATTTAGATGAAATAATTTTAAATTTTCATTATTTACTCACTACAATCTCAATTTCTAGTGTTTTGATAATAATGCTTTATAAATAATTCATTTGAATTTTTTTTTATTGAATATAAGAGTATTATCATTATTATTATTATTATTATTTTTTTATTTTTTTTTATTTTTTTTTTTTTACAGGAGACTATATATATCCAAGAATGAAGTGCTCCATCAACCATCTAAAGATCTATTGGACTTTGAGCAAAAATAAGAGAATGATTTTTGAAGATAAATTTTTAGAATTTGGTTTTGGAATTTTAATTAGTTTAATGTATGAAAATTTTAGATTGAATGTTTTTGCTAGTTGTAATAAATATTTAGCTTATCATTTAGAATTAATTTGAATTAACTACGTATAACTTTTTTTGGAGAACTTATTTCAAAGTGTAAGTTTATTGATCATATGCTCTTTAAGCAAGTTAATTATTATTAAATGCATTATTATCAAATCTATTTTTTTAAATGCCAATTAAAACCGTTGCCATTAGCAGGTTTAAAAGTGTCGACTTAGTTTCAATTGGAAGCATTGCCATAAACAAAATAAAGTGTTGCCTTAATTTTAAACATCAACTAGTATCAAGCTAATAAGTGTTGCTTAAAATTAGCGAAAATTGTTGCTTTAAATTTGAAAATGTTGCCTAAAGTTGTTGAATAAGTGTTGGCATAAGTTAAAAGTGCTACCTAAGAAAAACGCTGCCATAATTATTTACAACAACAGTTTACAATAAATGTTGCCTAATGCATGAAAGTTGTTGCTAAAGAGTTTTAGCAGCGGCACCTATTGGTAACGGTTTATAATCTGTTGTTATAGGCATATGGCAACATTAATAGGACATATGGTAACAGATTATTGCTGTTGCCATAAGTCTTTTTTCTAGTAGCCGGAGAAACCGGCGCAGGGGGAGGGGGAGTAGCAGCAGCCGCCGGCGGCTAGGTTTTGGGTGGCCGGATTCTAGGTTAAGCTGGTGTTTTTTTTTAAAAAAATTTGTTTTTTTTTATTTTTCTTTTTGTTTTTATATTTTTTTTAACCAATTAACTCATGACACATGTCACTTTTGTAAAAAAAAAAAAATAATCCATTCAATCGGTAACCGGTATTTGGGATTGAAGAAAAAGAAGACCCCCAAAGTTCAGATTATTCCAGTATAATCCAAAGTTGGGATTATTCTACCAAAATTGATGAAAGTTGGGATTATTATTTCTAATATTTCCTTTTATTTTATTGTATTTTAAGTGCTCATTAAGCTAAATAATAATCATTATAATTAGGTATGAGAAAATCATTATAATTAAATTAATAATTTTTGCTAATAGAAATTTTATTCATACCATTTTTAGAATTATAATGCTTGAACTTGAGACTAACAAGTATTAGGATTTAAGTCTTACCATTTCAACTTTTCATTTAATATGCTTTTCTACCAAAACAAAAATATACTTCCTTCGGTTTTTAATACTTGCAACAGTTTGGCTTTTACACTATTTATTTGATTCACTTTTACTAACATTGGTGATTTATAGCTACAAAAAATATAGTCATGTGGATCTTGTTAGATTCGTCTCAATTTATATAATTTTAATATCAAATTTTTATAATTTTAACATATTGTAAAGATATTAGCGTTTGAAATAATATTTCGGCAAGCGTAAAATGAGAAGTTTTGCAAATTGTATAAAAAGAAAATGGAGAAAGTAGTTAATTATGATAAGATGAATGCTTAATTGTAACTATTTTCCATCATGTAATGATCATGATTCATGAGGCACTTTAGCCACTTTAGTTTTAAGGTTCTGCAAAGGAGTGTGTATATATATATATATATATATATATATATACATAATTTTTGGTTAAATAGTCAATGGCATACAAAATATTGAACTCGGTCGGATCTCCTAATAAAAACAACCTTAAAAAATTATAGAGCATAGTCACACACAAAAAGATCCAACAAATAAATCTAATATCAAAATTGGAAACTTTCGAGATAATATGAAAATAAGAAGAAAAAAAGTCGAACATACTTAAGATATTAAAAAAAGGGTTACATATAAAGTAGTAATTCGAAACATCCTCCGCGCTATACACTAGTTATATATAGAGAAGAAGAAAAAAATCGTTCATCACACTAACTTTATCTAGTTCACAATGTTTTGACTACAACCATAAATTCAGTCTTATCCCAAAGGGTGAACACCCAAAAAAAAAAAAATAGCCTTATGAAATACGAAGTATATTTGCTTGCTATACTTGGCCCATTGTAAGAGGCCCACATTCTGTAGCATTTTGCCATAAATTTTAAGTTGGACTCGCGCCTAGTCAGAGTTGGCTGGTCTTGCGACTAGAAATGAACATTTAGTAATTGAACATATTTGAAAAGTGGTTGGTCCTCCCCAACAAAAATGAACATTTACTCGGAAAAAAATGAACATTAAGTAATTGAACATATTTGAAAAGTAACATTTAAACTTCAAATGTATATCAGAAAATTGAAATGAATATTTTGTCAGATAACAATTAACACTTTTTTTTTAATGAAAAATGAATTCCAAATCAAAAGAAAGAAATATTTAAAACTTGAAATTAACATTGCAATATATAAAAATGAACATTTATAATATAAGAGTAAAATAAAGAGACTATGAAACTGAAAAAAAAAAAATTGTACATATTATATTATATAACTGAACATTACAGTTGTAAATAAAAATGAACATATAATTTTGTTGCCTATTCATCAATATTTTTATAAGTTTCAAGTGAAATCATACTACATGAAAATGAACATTTATTTTATAAGAATGAACATCGTACTGCATGAAAATTAACATTTAATTATTGAGAAATACAAAACATCCGTAATACAAATGAACATCTAATTTCATATTTTTGAAAATTGAAATAAATAAATAAATAATTTTTTTATTTATGTGATATACAAATAAACATACAGTTTTTTGATTATGAACATTTTGCTAATCGAAAAAAATTGGGTGAGTCGGACTCGCGATGAATTTAAATAAATGACAATAATAATCTAATATCTGACAATAATAATCTAATATATGATAGTAATATTCTAATATCTAACATTAATAATCTAATATTTGACAGACATTAGATTATTAATGTCAGATATTAAAATATTATTGTTAGATATTAGAATATTAATGTCCTGTATTAGAATACTATTGTCAGACATATTGGACTCACAATGAGTCCGATCTCACGTAAAAACTTCTCTTTTGCTAATATTAACCTGAACATCATTAATATAAAAGTATATTATTTACAAGTGAACATAAAACATATGAGAATGAAAATATATTGATTTTATAATGAACAAAATTGTAAAATATATTCAGTTAAAAAATGTTCATTTTTGTTATAGTAGACATTTATTTCTGTCGCGGGACCAGCCAGCTCTGGCTGGGGGCAAGTCCAGCCAATACTAACTCGCATTTTGCATAGTCCATGTACAGCCCATTATATAGCATGTCGTTTGAAGCCCATTTACAAGCCCAACACATGTGCAAAGGATCGGAACAAAAGGAATGGGTCATAAGACTCATAAGAAATAGGATTGACTGTGCGAGATTTAATTCAATTTGATCGGTCATTCGAAAACAGTCTTAAATTTATGAAAATTGATCGGTCATTCAAAAACAATCTTAAAAAAAGAAAAATGAAAATAAATAATCTTACATTTGATCGGTCATTCGAAAACAATCTCACCTTCAATTTATTCCATTATAATAATATAATGTCGTTTTCCTAGGAGAAAATTTATAGGCACGTCAGCGGTATGTTAACGGCATGCAAAAATTGAGGGCATCTAGGCCTTTAGGGCATGTCATTTTTGGGTTGTACATAGTACATTATATGGGGTGAATAGATTTTGTATACAATAAATTTTAAGGAAAAAAAAAAAAACCGTATAATTGTTATGACATTTTTGAGAAAGAAATACAATACGAGAGTGTACTTCGTATAGTTTTGAATTTGAAAATAGATGATGGAGAGTTGGGATAGAGGAGTTGAATGAGGTTTTGGATAGCTCTCATTGATTCTAATTCTATTACAAAAAAAAAATTGATATTACAAAATTCATAGTTGATCCGGTTTTTTTGAAAGCATGTTTTTTAAAGAATTACTATTAATTATAGTGGATTATACAATGCAACCACATAAGTTAAGATATTAATTGATCACGCGATTGCTAAAATATTACTCCGTACCTCAATGATGGCTAAAAGAATTATACAATGCAATCATATAAGCTAATATAAGCTAGCCAGCTAGGGAATCAAAATGCAATATTAAGATCAATTGTCTATTTTGTGCAACTGTAATAAGATAACTTTGTACTTAATGACTCATCTTCTAAAGATAATATAGGTGGATTGAATGTGGTCCAAAACATTAGCTCACGTTGTTTTTTTTTTTTTTTTTTCTTTTGAATCGATGAGCAGTGACGTGGAGATTGTTCTAAACATAAATAACAATATCCGAATATCTTCCTCCGTACGATTCGTAACATCTTTTAAATTTTTTTAATCGATAAGTATAAATGATTGTACCTTAAATGCATCAATATATGTTTTTTTTTTTTTTGGGTGTGT